AAAACTTTTCCAGGATTTATCTACCTGTAAATATCTATCAAGTTTGACTAAGGCATGAATACCTATTTTAATTTACATATTCAGATTTTTTCTTTTTAGGGTTAAGAAAGCTTTCTTACAGTACCTTTGACTATTGCTTTAGTCCTCAATATTGTGTATTCTTCCTCAGGAACTTCTGTATTTATTGTTTTCTTTCATTGTTTTCATTTTCTAGTCATTTCTTTGCAGTTTGGGGCAATTATCCCAGTTTGTCCTCAACATTCTCAACATTACTGATTCAATTTTTCATTATGAGGCTTTTGACTGATGTGTAGGGGTGTGTGGTACTAGGGATTAAACTTGAGGGTGCTCTACCACTGAGTGGTATCTTATTTTTTATTGTGAAACAGGGTCTCACTATGTTGTCCACGGTGGCCAAACTATGAAGGCCTGTGTCATCAGGTCCTGTGGCTACAAGGTCTGCACCTCAGCTCTACTTACAGTATTGTAGGCAGCTTTGGGAGTTAGTGACTGTTAGCAGAACCTGGCCTAGGAAAATCATGAGAACTGGGAGCCCGGGGGACTAAGGCTCCCAGTGAAGGAATTCTGTGTGTTTTGTGATATCAGAGAGAGCTATGTAAGGATGGGATGAACACTTTACAGATAGAAAAGTCAAACCATTGACCCCATTAAAATTCATGGAAAAAAAAAAACCCTTCACAGTAGGGGATATCTTCTATGATCATTAAAAGAATGGACCAAAGAGGTACTAGGGGAAGGTGTCAACCGTCAAACACAACAGGGGTGCATGAGTTTCCTAATTCTAGTTCTTTCTCAGAGATGAGAAGGGTAAAAGGGAAAGTGTATCTGAGTGGTGCCCTCCTTCACCACTGCCAGTGCCGGCTCTGCCTTCCCATCCTGACGCTGTGGGGTCGGGGGAGCTGGTGCTCATTTCCCTGCGAATCCTCACCACCGCTGCTCCTGGGGACTCCTGGACTCAGTCAGTCCACACAGATCACATTATCTAAGATCTGTCCAGGGAACTGATGTCAACAATAAATTCTAGTACCTGAATTTAGCAAATCAACCAAGACAGCTCTTTCTTTCTTCAGAGGTTGCCCAGTCATTGGATGAACTTGGGGTCAAAGCTCCGGGTCCATCTGCCAGCTGATGTCCTCAGTCCCTGTGCCAGTCACAGATAAGACCTTCTGAATGGGAAAACACACACCTCCTAAGGTGTTCTCACTATGGCATTTCTCCTGTCGACTGCCTTCAGTGTGCTCATCACCCAACATCCGTCCTCCGGGAGGACACCTAATTATCCTCCCAGGGAAGTCAGTCACTACATGTAAAGCCAAGGGGTGAAACGAACTTGGATTCTCATGGAGCAGGTGATGCTACTTCGAATCCACCCTACCCATTGGAAATTGGAGGAGAAGAGGACACAAAGGCGGACTGAAATGAAGGATTAACTTGTCCAAAAGTGAACCCCAAGAAAAGACACTGGCTCCTTACGAGGCTACTAAAAAACAAGCTTGTGTAGTGCATTAGTCCATTAGGCCAAATATGAGACTCTGATCCACTTCTTAGACCACTGTGGGAGAGGCTTGTGCATACCTGGTAGGCTAAACCTAAAGTTAGGGCTCTGCCATGACATCTTGCTATTGTGCCCTGGCCTCAGCTCAGACCTAGGGAGGAGCTGGTGTTTCCAACGTATGTTCTTAGAAAGCCTTTTCTCTCCCAGGGTCTGACGTCAGGCCCTGCTAGACCTCTGTGAGCTGATCTGGAATGAATGAAGGAAGGAATGAACGAGCACATCTCCTGCCGATCTGGTGTCTGACAGCTTTCTCCAGGGCTCCTCAGACATGATGTGAATGCTGCTTGTCCTGTTTGCATGATAAAATCCTTCCTAATGACACATTTTGGAAAGAAGACAGCCAGTTGGTCAAGTCCATGACTACTCCATTTCTATAACCCTGATAGAGGATCAAAGATATTTGACCTGAAGAGACTGCCAGCCCTAGAGCCAGTGGGACCCAGGGTGAGCCGCAGGTTGCAGGCCCATTGTTAGCAGCAGCAGCCTGTCTGTTGTGTTCCACTCTGGCCAGGAGGCTCTGGGCAAGGCCTGGTCACATCTGTGCCAGTGGGCTGAACATTACCCCTGACTGCAACCATGTGCCCAGTCTTTGTGGCTACGGCTTCTCCTCATGTTCCTCATTTGCTCTACAGTTACCCGAGGGAGCTGGAGCTCTGCCCTGGACTGCAGCCTGCTTGGTCTGGCCCTGACAACCTGCCCACTACCATCTGCCAGATAATGTCCTCTTTTAACCTGAAAGGGGGCACCCGTGGGATCAGGATGCTGCCACCTGCCTCTGTGCACAGCTGCCGCCTAGCTGTTGCTGTGGGGCCTCCATTCGCTTGTCTGGACCAATCAGATCAGAAGTGCGGAAGCTACAGCACCATCTCCTCAGCAGGAATCCTACAGCAGGTGAGGCCCCCTCACTCCAGCCAGAGTCTTGACACTTCTGCCTTACTCTTCTCAGAGAAAATTCTACCCCAGACTGCAAAAGTGGCAGATGACTTCTACCATCCCTAGGTAAATCAAACACTTTTTATCAATATGGAATCTTGTGAATTTATGTGGCAGGCAACAGAGATACAGTTCTAGGGCCTGCGCACTGTGTGAAGGCATAGAAAAAGTTGTTGCTGTTGTTTTTTTAAATTTCAAAGTCAAAGATTCTATTTATTGTGGAATATGACTGCATTTTATCCTGCTGGAAGGTTGGGTATGTAAATGCCTGCAAGCTAAAACCCTTATGAGAGTTAGATTACAGCACCCCACCCTGATCACACTTTCCAAGCTCATCCTTGCCCTCAGCTGCTGTGTCTGTCACTAAAATGACACAAGCAACTCTGGCACCATGGTTACTGGAGTAGGACGAGACTCTCTGATATTTGCTGAATAAATCAATGAATGAATAGATGAATGAATCAGTTAAGTGAGCAATCTATAAATCCTCTAAAGGAAATGCGTTCAGCAACTTTAAAACAAATCAGAAGTAGGAGATACAGAGTTGCTAAGTGGATATAGCATTTCACTTTTACCAGAGGAAAGCATTTTAAGGATTACTTGTTCACTGGTTGTTCAACAAGGTGAATGCAGAGAATTCTACTAACCTGCATTTAAAAGGGGTTAAGTTCCACAGAGCTGGGCTCCATCTTGTTCACTGTTTACCCCCTGGTACTAGGTTCTCAATTTGTAATTCCTGAGTGAGTGAATTTTGCTCTAATTTGTAATCTCATGGCTGTATCTGTTAACTTGCAAGTCGCTTCATATTTTTAACTACTGCTATTTTGAGATACTATAAATCATATCGCAGAGAGACATTTTGGTTTGTGCAGACTTTTTTAAAAAATTGTTTTGGCATTGGGGATTAAATTAAGGAACACTGAGCTATATCTCTAGTCATTTTTATTTTTTGATTGGGATAACACACGCACCACCAACTCTGGTGCGTATGTTCCGTGTGTATGTTTCTATCTTTTCTTCTGGCTATACTAGTGTAGCAGCTAATTCAGCGGATCCCTTTTCTCTTTCCCCTCTTCCCACAGTTTGCATCACAGACAGTAAATGTTACAGCACACTGCTTTCCTTACTCTGAATGCTCAGAAGCAAAGTCTAAACTCGGTGCTGGCAGGTCCCTAGTCTACTTTTCCACTGTGATTTCCCATCAGTACTCAGAAATGTACTTCCCACGTCAAGGAGGTTGTTTCTCCTCTCACTTTCGCTGACTATGCGCCAGTGGATGTTGTTTCAAAGAACACATCCTATTCTTCACCTGCCTAAATGTCACCCATCTTCCCAGGCCCCTCCAGGACCTCCCGACTCCACCCTGCCTTCTCTGAATCCAGTCTGCAAGGTCTCCCTTTCCACTCTGGATTTTCCTAGCAGTGCATGTATCTGTCACACGAGGGGGCCTCAGACCACCTTCTAGTGCTGGCCATACTTCAGGTCACAATCTCACAATCTACAACCTTCTGGAGCACAAAACCTTAAATAACAAGTTTATAAAAAATTATAAAGACTTATGTAGTCCTATACTCAAAATAATAAATATTTAAATCTAATTGCTTTGCCAATTTTGATGAAAAACCAGATAGTTTTTTTTTTTTTAAAGAGATCAAAGAGCATTTTCACAATAAAATACTAGCCTCAGGGCTGGGGACTTAGCTCAGTGGTTCTGCTGCCTGCCTGGCAAGCGCAAGGTCCTGAGTTCTATCCCTGGTACAAAAACAAAACAAAACAAAACACCCAAACCAAACAAGAAATAAAATAAAATACTTGCCTCTTCCCCATGATTGTAAATTATTTGCATATCACCCACACATTATTCTCCCCTAAATAATTTTAATTTTTAAATCCCTATTTGCAATCCTTGATCAACTACCTTACACAATCCATTTTTTCCCAATTTGGCTTGGCTTTTGACTTTGGATTGTCCTAAGATAACACTATTAAATGTGAATCTATATTTAAAGGAGCATTTGCTTCATAAATTATTGTAAAATACTCTCGGAGTTATATGGACGGCTTTTGGATTTTTACATACGGGAACGGGACACTAGAAAAATCACAGTGTACTTTTCATTTTTCCCCAGGCATTATTGCAGATGGGAAATCAAGTAAAAATGAACAGAGTACTGTTATGAGAGAAAAGCAGTTGCTTGGGTGTTACCTGTAGCCTGAGACTGAGCACAGTGGATGGAGAAGGAGCTTTCTCTCAGGCAGATGCTGCAGGGAACTTGGCTGGATGCTCAGGAGTGAGGCCTGCTAGAAATTCTGCAAGGAATATTCTGCAAGGAACACCGAGGTCCAGACCACCAGTCAAGGGATTTGCCTTTTGACCTCTCTCATTTGCATTGTTTTACTCAGGCCTTTTCCTCTACTCCCAGTGCTTTCTGGTTGTGTGGTCTCAGGTCAGGCAAAGCCCACCGAAGGCAGCCCAGTGGGCCCCACGTACCGGCTTCCTCGTAGAGAAGGCCCAAGTGCGCTTGCGCCTCTGCTTCTCTCTTGCCACCGTCAAACTTGATCAGTCGTGCAACGTGAAAACATCGTTCATAGAAGTGGTTCCTCACCCACTTGTCTTCAGGATTATCGAAGTAACAGGCCAGAATATACAAGTTATTATATACACCTTCGAGGGATCCTCCAAAGAGAAAAAAAATCATAAATCACATTAGAAAAATGTCTCAGGTCACATCCTTTGGAATAGTAAACTAATATCGTGACATTTGTACCATATTCTTTTTTTCTTTAATATGGTTAAAGTCAGGTGTGGTGCAGCATGCCTGTAATCCCAGCACTCTGGGAGGCTGAGGGAGGAGGATCGCAAATTGGAGTCCAACCCGAGCAATTTTGCAACTTAAACGAGATTCTGTCTCAAAATAAAGAAGGCCTAAGAATGTAGCTCAGTGCAAAGGTCCTGAGTTCAAGTCCAAGTACTCCCCTCAAAGCGATTAAATGTTTCACAAATCAAATCTAAATGCAGAAATTAAGCTATTTTAGCTATTAAAATAATTACATTATTTAAGTAATATGCACATAGTAAAGCAACAAAAGCCTTTCTGAAAACTTAGAACATTTTAGAAAGTGACATAGTATTTGGTTGAATCAGAGGACTATAGCATATAGAAGATAATAATATCTGCTAGGAATGCATTTAATTCTTTCAAAAGAAAGGAGAATTAGTATCATTGAATACTTTTTGCCACTGAAAGGTTGAAAAATATTTTAGAAATTTCAGAGAAAGCAATATTTTTAACCATGGGAAAAATAATGTAAATGAAAAAAGCAGAAAAGATTGGGGAAAACCAAGGCATTTTCATTCTTAGGGGGGAAATCATATGTCTAATAAATGATAATCAGGACATCAGGATGGCTGTATAAGAGTGCTATGATGGGAATCAATCTTGCAAACCCCACTGCAGGAGTGAACTTGAACAGAAATGTTTAATTTGTTAAAAATTCTGCCTCAGTTTTATAAACCACTTTTTAATGGTGACCATGAGCAAATTAAGAAATTTTATTATCATTTAGACAATTATTCTGAAAGCACATTTGTAAATGTGAGTATTCCAGGATGTTTATGCGTAGTGACCATAACATGTGCTGGACTTCACCGTTGCTCATTGCTCTCTCCTGCCAGAAAAGTCAGCAAGGATGTTCCTGAAAGGCCACACTCATCAAAAGTATTTCCCATTAGTACACCTAGGTGATTAAATGCAAAGGTTCAGAAAAAGTGGAGGGAGCTGAACACAGGAAAAGGTAGCTGTCAAAAATTGTAAATAAGTCGCTGAAATGTTTTAAAAGAAATTTGTAAAACCCGTGACAATTCTTACATGTAATTCTCTTTATTTTTCTCTCTCTCTATCTTTCTTCCTTCCCTTCCTTGTCTCTTCTCTCCTCTCCCCTCGCTTCCCTTCCCCTCCCTCCTCCCCTCTCTCCTGGAGGTTGAACTCAGGGCTTTTGCACTGAGCTACGTCCCCACAACTTTTAAAAATTTTTTATTTTGAGATACAATCTTGCTAAATTGCTAAATTACCCAGACTGGGGTTCCCATTTGCAATCTTTCTGCCTTATCTTCCCTGAAAGCTGGGATTACTTCTTGAATACACATGTGTTTACCTAAAGTAACCAGACCACTAAGATCTGACTTTTAATATTTTATATTGTTGGTCATATTTACTGATTAGAGTTGTCATTTTAATATGGCAGAAAGTAAAACATATTGCCTCCTCTATTGTAATAAAAGGTATATATAAAGTTTAATTTTCTATATATATTCTTGCAACACTTTCTCTATTTTTCAGTAACTATAAAAGCAATCCCAAAATTTCATAAAGTTTTTTGAACACTGAATTGCACTGGACATAATCTCTCAGGATTTCATAGTTAAGTCTAATGGCTAGGTTAGTTTCTGTACCTGTAATCTGTACCCTTTACATTCTAAGTAGGTGTTTCTCCTTATATGTGGACCCCTCCTTTGAATTATCAGCAGTTATATTAAGAAGAGGAAAATAAAATTCTATGGTTTGTTTTTTATTTAGATATGCTCCCTGATGAGGAAATTCCATGATGAAAAAATTTAGGAAATGTGTCCTGTTTCAGTGAAGCACACAATGCACATTAGCATGTGAAAGGCTCTTGTAAGTCTTGCAGTAAAACAACACACACTACTTCATGTTAGTTCACCTGATGTTTTCCGAACTTGTCTTACCAAACAGGTTTTTTTTTTGTTTTATTTTTGTTTTTCTTCTCATAAAACCTATATATGTCCTGTGGAACTTTGCTTGAGTAGAAATACTTTGGTATCATAAACATATAATGAGAAAAAACTGCTATTCACCCTTAACAAAAATTTTAAAAGTTGAATGTAAATAATGTTTGAATTATCTACTGACTTGGTTGCCCATTACCATTATTGCCATCTCTTTCCCAGCCCCAGAGGGCTCAAGACTCTAATCATAATTTTACAGAGAGTAAAGAAATGATTCAAAAGAATGGATAACAGATGAAATACAGTGTGTTATAGTCTAAAAGACACTGCAACAAACGAAAATAATCCAAGGAGGATTGATTGGCTTACTTGAAACTCAACTTTGCTACAACAAACAAGAGATGTTTTTCTAAAGTAATTCCCACAATTCTAGGTTACTGCTCTTAATCTTAGAGAGGACTGACCCCAGATGACTACTGTTAGTGCCATAGCTTTGATTAAATGAAGTTCTCTGGGGTCCTACACTGATGGTCTTTCCAATGAGGAGCTATGAGGACACTCAGAGGTAGATAATTTCAGGATAATCATCTCAGACCCACGACTGTGTGGGATGGAACCAAAAGACACTGTGAACAGAGTTCCGTATTTTAGATTATATATACATAAATGTACATGTACACATCTATTAAAACATAAAAACACATATATGTTTTAAGATTTAGGATTAATTCTTTAATAAGAGCAAATGTAAATACCCTATTTTTTGGGACATGCCTTATTCTAGTCATGATTTTCCTCACTAAAATTCATGTTTTGACTATGAAAAAATTATACAGATTTTTCAAAAATAACCATATAAAGACTGTGGGTTGTTCAACTGAAGAATTCCCATTAGTATTTTTTTTTGGTAATAAATCTAGTTTTCTATATTTGAACCAGGCATTTTGTAGGAGATAACTCTATAGAAGTATTATTCTGATCGAGGTAATTTTGTCCTATTTAATAAATGCAATTTTAGTTACTGCAAATATATGACAAACAGTTCAGTGAAGAAAATGTTTCCATTACTTTTATCACTTGCATAACAACTTTTTCTATTCCTAAGCCAGGACTTTATTAGCTTTTTTAAATTGGAAAAGTATTTTTATTTATATGCATAGTTATTTTTTAATAGAAGACTAGAAATTAAAACATGTTCCTTAAAACAGATGATTTAGCATTGTTGGTCTTTTTAATGACAAAATACTGTAGGACAAGTTGACTCATTTGTGACATATTATGACAAAGCCAGACATTTGGCTCATACTTTTGAACTGACATGCAAACCTCTGTTTTAAACAGTGAATATGGTGAAATTCAACTTAAAAATATGAATGATGGGCAAATTTTGTCTTGATTAATTCTGTTCCCAGTGTGGATATCATTTCAGAATTTGAGAGTAACCCTGGATTGTAGTTTTTTTTTTAAACAGAATAACATTTTATTTTACAATAGTTTCTTGAGAAATTATATGAATCACATTTTGACGTTCACCAAAGGCCCATTGTTTAAGTCATCATGCAGTTAAATGTTTTTCCCCATATAGTCACCTGCACCCTACCCCACCCACCTTACCTTCACTAGTGTTACTGCTCATAGTTTTGTATGCCTTGTGTTTTTAAGTCAGGTCACAGCCTGATGGGAAACACGCAGTGGCTCCATCAGAGAAGCTAAAAGACCTCTGCTGTCCCCTGGTGCTGTGTCCATGTCCTCCTCATTTCTCTCCAGGGTAAGCCAGGAAAATGAAAATGTTCCTCCTACTTATAACCTACGAAGCGATGAAATGAAGCTACACCTTGGCAAGACTTGAGCTTTGCGTATTGTTTTGTTTTGGAGCCCTGTAGTATTCTCACTCAAAAGGCTGTGGAAAAGAATAATTGGGGACACCAAACTGACACACCAAATTCTAGGATTTCCTTTTTTTCCCCCTTTCATTATGAATCACCAATTCCTTAGGGGTCAGTAGAGATGAAGAAAGACAGGGGGAGAAGGCAGAGGAAGAAATTCAGCAAGAGGCACCAAAATGCAGTGGTAAGGAATTATTTTTGCTTCCTCTGTAGCACAATAGAGTAACTACCCAGCAAAACAGCCTCTGCTTTATCTTAGAATGACTAGAAAAGAATAATATGAAACTCCTAACACATAAAAGTGATTAATGGCTGAAGAGATGAAAATGCTTATTACCCTGGCTTGATTATTATACATTGTATACATGTATCAAATTACGATAATGTACCTCATAAAGATACACAAATTAAAATGGTCAATTCCTAATACATAACTCTAAGAAATACGTGTGACAACAGTATCCATATAATTATAGAAAAGGTTAAAATATCTTGATACTTAAAATATATATCAACTTTCCAGAAAATATTAGATGGCGCAAAAAAAAAGAGACTTATTAGAAATGACTTCATGGAAAATATAAGATTAACAATTTTAATCACAACCGTGAATTGCATGCATTTCGATGTGTTTCCATAATTCGCTCACATAAATTCTCGGATTCCTATCCGTAGGGTTTCATAGCACCTTCAAAGCTCACAGTACAGATGCTAGGAAATCAGGGTACTTTGCAAGTGCCAGTAACCTTCCGAGTATGTTCTCAGAGCGAGGCGGCGCTCACATAGCACACAGGGAAACGATGCGCAGGTTTGTAATTAGCGATGGAAAGGATTCAGAGCATTGGGACGTTCTGGAGATTCTGTCAGCGCCGCGCACTGACTTCCCAGGCTTAGGAAGCAGCCTTGTGCCTCGGCTTTCGCTCTCCTTCCTTCCGTAAATTTGCTTCACTGACCAGGTACTGTGCTAAGTCTTCTTACTGTTTCAAGTCCACATATGAAGCAGCTGGGAATGTCCCTTGGTGCTGCACTCGGCCCGCCCTTGTGCCCTCCCTGCCTCCACCTACCTTTCCGCTCGGCGGCCTCAGCCCTGGTCAGGTAGTGGTAGAGGAAATCTAGTTTGTCCGGCTGCTGCTCCAGGGGCTTCTGCAGCCAGAAGACGGACCTCACTCTCGCCGCCTCCCTCAGCACATCCCATCGCTCCATCAGACCGAAGACCTCGGCGAAGGACTTGTGGTAGCCGTCTCGCAGCATCTCCACGCAGACGTTCTTCCTGTACGAATTCCTGTAACTGGAGATAAGAACCGGAACGCGAAAAGCTTCATTCAGGTCCCTCCAGTCCCTGCGCTGCTGTTTTCATTCTCATAATTGCAGGCTGAACCGCACTTCTTTTTTTCCCCTTCAGTGAAAGCGCTAAAAACTATCAAAAGATCTGTGCTGCAAACGCTTAATTGAACAACGTCAGTTTAATGAGAAGTGCCAAGAGCTAGCCACATTCCGTAAGTTTAAAGGAATTACTTTACAAATCTATCCGTTCCAGAGCTGAGCTAGCTTTGATAAGGACAAATGAGGACGTTGGACAGATTCTTTTCAAAAACACTTCATACAATAGCCCCCCACCAAAAACCAACCAGTCAAAATTTTCAATAAGGAAAGCAAAAGTCAAGCTTGCTATTTAATACCAAAGCAATGCGTTTTCTCTAGTAGAAAATTTCACAGTAGGTCCTGGGAGTTCACCATTGATTCAGTCATGAAGAAAATATTTATTGAAACCTATTACTAAATATAACATGTTCAGTTAGAATTAAGATAATGGTTTGTGAGGTTGATATAATTCACTGCTTCTTTTCGGCACATGGGGGGCTGAGGAAGGAGGATCACTTGAGCCCAGGAGTTTGAGAATAGCCTAGGCCGCCTCATAAGACCTGATCTCAACATACAAAAACAAAGACCAAACCAACAAAAACCATTCTTACATCTAACTTCAATAAAAAACAATATGCAAGAAGGTCAGAGAAGTGAAATATGAATATGCCAATGATTCATTTGCAAAACCACTATTGTATTTCCGTTGTTACCCAGTGTTCCAGTCTAACAATTCAACATTTAGAATAACCGCTGTGATGTCATAATACTACAATAAAAACTTCAGTGTAGAGGGAGAAGAGCTCTAAATTAAAGTACCTAAGTTTGAGCCCGGTTTGACCTAATTTTCCTAGACTTGACTTCTTATCTGTAAAATCTTTGTACATTAGTAAATGCCCTCCCAACACCACAGGATTCTTCTAGGAACCAAATGAAATTATCTGTGCAAAAATACTCTAGGAAATGTGACACCTTAAGCTATTAGAGTTCAGCTCCTGGCTAGGCACTGGATTTATCTTTAGTGTCAAAACCAAAACAAGACAAAGCAAAACAAAACTATCTAGGCTCATCTGCCCAGATTTTCTTACTCAGTGGATTTACTTAGGTATAGGTCAAAGAGTGATCAGGAGGAGAGTGATGAGGTAGGGAGTTGCTTTTTGTTTTGTTTTATTTTTGGTTTTATAGTAGGGCCCAGACGACTGAAGAGACCTGTAGGTAAAGCAATGGTGAGAAGTCTAGGCTCCAAGCAAGGAGTGATGTGTGCCACCGGAGAGTCTGATGGGATGTGACTGCGTTGTGGAAAAAGCCCCTGGAAGGAGCACCCCCTCCAAACTGCAGCCTTCACCCAGCTGACAGACAAGTTATTATAGGACTAGCACATAAAGAGAATAAAACAAGAACGTTCATAAGCCAGGAGTCAAAAGCCACCACTGGGCATCAGATCAAGAAATATTCAAAATGGGGAAGAGAAGAGGAAGAACAATAGTTGTTTGTTCTTCCCAATGAAGTAGAGGAGCAAAGGATGGAGAAGCAGGAGGCAAAGTGCCACAAAGGACCAGGTCCTCTCTTCCCTGCACTCCAGGCAAATACCAGAGGGTTCACAGAATAGAACAAGCCAACATCACGTGAAATCCAGTTATCCAATCCTAAAAGCGGAAGATGCCTATATCCTGCTTCTCATCTGGACTCCTTGAAGGCAAGAAGATAAGCAACATCCCCCTGGCCACCTCCTCCTACACTGGGCATGGAAAGGTAGCAAATGACCAAGGTTTCTAGGTAGAAGAGGACCAGAAGCAGCCCTATAATTTCCACATCTCCTGACTAGTGTGGGAGGAATGATGGAATAGTCTAGTTGGCTGCACATGTGACATGAAAATTTTAGAAAAACAGGGCCTATATGCTGCCACTGTGTAATCTGGACACAGGGGGAGGACGTATGCTGAAAGGTTGGTTAGAGGCTGCCCCCTGGGAATAAAGCAAGGCACAGACATAATTGAAATGAGGCAGACTGAGTAGCTCTGGGAGGGGGCCAGCCAGCATCTTTTCAGACAGAAGCAAGAAGAAGGATGAGTCAAATGCACCAGAGATGGTCACTGTTTAGGACCTCACGGGATAGGATCGCATTCAGCTATTGCATTCAGAGAGAACTGTTTCACAGTGTCTTGAAAAATAAAGGCTTCATTTTTTAAACCTAAAGTTAGGCAGCTCAGGGCTTGTATCAGCGACTAACAAGTTCAAGATTGATACCTCCGTGATTATATGACCTGTATCTCTTGCTTGTCCCCTGAGAGTCACAACAGGGCTACCACAGCTCCAAACATCATGCCAGCCTTCAAGGCAAGAAGAAAGGGGAACATGGGGGTGACACTGGCTGTTTCTTTCTTAATTTCATAGAAAAACAAAACCACTCCCGCGACTACTAGTTGATTTCCACTTTGTTTATATGGCCCAGAAGTCTGTCACAAGTCCTTTTCCCTTGCTGCAAGGAGTCTGGAAACACATATATCATGCTTGATCTTGGGTACCTTGTCACCCAAGAGCAACTGGAGTTCTATTAGTAAAGAAGGTAAAGGCACTGGGAACTGGGCAGGCCAATGCAGTGACAATCACAAGGTCTTAGTCCATGATCTGAGACGAGCTTCTGTTACACCCTGTTTCCCATTTCTCACCGGATCAGAGAGAAAAAAATGCAAGATGCCCAGCCAAGTTTATTTATTTTTGGTACCGGGGATCAAACTCAGGTCCTTGCATTTGTGAGGCAAGTGGCAGAACCACTGAGCTAAATCCCTGGCAACGATGAAATTTTGGGGTGACTTTGTTCTTTTCTATAATGAACATGTATCATTATTTTTATATTGAAACAATGATAATTTGAGTTTTTTTTTTTTTTTTTT